CCTGTGCTCTTCCTTCTTCCTTCAGCTCAGCTCTAAAACCCCCAGCTTCCAGGATACTCTTCACGAGACCCTACAGTGTAAGGAGAACTGTGGTGCCTATTTTACGGATGAGAAAACCGAGTCTAGGTTCATAACTTGCCCAAGGCTGCACAGGCACTGCCCAGTGTGCCCCACATGCCTGGCCCGGGCCCGATGCCCAGGCTTTGTGCCGTCAGACCCCCAGCCTCCTCGCAGCAGGCGGGCGGGCTCCGGGGCGGGCCCCTCTGTTGGCATAGGGGTGAGTTAGCACTGCTCACCCCTGCTTACTGCCCACGTGGTGGCGGGATAAATGAGCTACCCACGTTGCCATCCCTTTCCCAACCCTGCTGTGCCACCCGGGGGCCGCCGGGCACAACCAGGCCCCTTTCTGAAAGCGTTCTCTTCGGCAGAACGTTCGCACGGCAAGCTTTCTCAAAACCAGAGGAGAACTTGGTCCTTTAAAAAAAAACGTCCCCTTTCGCTTTAACACGGTTTCCCTGCTCCATTGACCATCGTCCGGGTGAAATGGGTTTGGGTGGGTTTCAGCACGTGGGTCTCTCGCCCTCCTCCCTTCTCGGATGGATGTCTCTCCGGCTTTACACGCACAGCCCTGCCCGATGGGAGGAAGCACAGCGGAGAAGGCCCCGGACCCCAGCATCGGGCTCTCCGGTGCCAGGCTCTAGCCTAGGGGTGTCGAACTCAATCAGAGAAGGGGCCAAAATCTAAAATCCAGCCTAAATCGTGGGCCGAATGGTTTACTGAACAGTCATAAACTGTCATTGTGATGGAATCGCAGGGGAGTGCAGTGATGACAGCCCGGTGTGGGCCACATTGCAAGGCCAGGAGGGACGGATTTGGCCCGCGGGCCTTGTGTTTGACACATGTGCTCTAGCCCTTCCCGTGACAGCCCGCAGCGACACGCTACCTGCCAGCCTCACGTGTGCGTGGACAGGAAGGCCTAGCCTCTGCTCTGCTATTTTTAGCCGTGGCCTGGTTGAGTCAGTCTCTGCTGGCCGGGAGCCCTCTGCTCTTTCTCGCGCTGGCGCTGGCGGAGCCGTGAGCAGGTCTGTTTCCCTCCCAGCTCTGCTTTCCCCAGCCCCCGCCCCCTCTCCCTGTCATCAGGCAGGGGCAGATTAAGGGTCCCTATTTCTTTGCTTCTCTTGATAAAAGCCTCCCAGAGGTCATGTGACCTGGAGAGCGCCGGAGACTTTTCATCTGGCTCACAGTTCCGCATTAATGGAGCTGTAAGTGGGAACTGTTATTTCTAAAAACCAAGTCTAAGTTCAAATATGCCTTTAAATGAAAATAATTGCATTAAAATCACTTTGGGGAGGAGGACTGACATGTTAGCTATAAATGGACGCTCGTTGTTCCTCATTTGCGATCCCAGCTTACAGCAGAATGATTGACAGGAAAGGCACTTACCTGCTTAATGGAGGAAGCGATGCTTGGGAATAAATGAATAAATTCTGAGGTGCTAAAAGCTCAGTGACTTACCCCTCCCAGGGGGAAAGCGTGTAACAACACACAGAACTTTTCCTTAATAAACTGCAAATGGAGTGCTCAGGCATCTCTCGTGGGAGGGGCTGGAGATGTGTTTGGCAGCTGCGCTGACTTCTGTCTCCAGTAACCCCGAGCTCGACTCAGGATGCTGCAGTAGAGAACGGTGCTACCTCGACAGCCCACCTTTGGCTGGGACTGGCCTACGGTAAGTCATTCAGCGGCTTAAAACCACCTTTCAGGTCCATGTTGCTTCCCATTTCTGCCGTCTCTTCTTCGGTGGGACCGTGTCCTGCCGGCAACTGTAAGATGGGCCACACCTTGAGGCACTGCCCCACAGAAGGGAGCAGCTTCCTCCACACCGAGCTTCTCCCCCAGAGCTCCCTAGAGGAATGCTCACTGTGCATCTTTGGCTAGAAAGGAGTCACATGACCACTTCCAAACCAACCACTGGCAATAGGACTGGTACCCCTGTGAACGGCTTTCACCGCTCAGACTGACCACTGAGCCCACAGTGCAGGGATGGACGCCTGGGCCACATCAGGGCTTGGCCAGCAAAGGAAGAAGGGAGCCATGGCTGTTGGACAGGCCATCAACGGTGTTGGCTCTGATGCCCGTCAAACACCAGGCCTGATTATCATGTCATTTTCCTGAGGAACTTCTATAAACCAGGGAACTACAAGAAAATTACACCAAGACTTGATTGGTATTGAGCAGCATATTTGGATGCTGAGAGCACCCACACTTTTCTTATTTTCTTACTCTCCGGCTCTCTTTAAAAAAAAAAAAAAATCAACATTCAGTTGTTCTGTGATATATTGTATAACCTACAATATTAGGAATTATGTGGTTAAAGGAGCTCCAGTCTATTTCACAGTTCAGCAAAGAGGTCATTCATTCTTTCATTTATCAAATGCTTACTATGCCTTTACTCAGCACCGAAGACACAAAGATTGCAAAGACAGGTCTCTGTCTGCCAAGGAGGAGACACTGGGAGGCCCCTGCCCTCTGAACAGAAAACCGACTATATGCACTTGGACCTAGACAAATTCAGAGGAGAAAGCATTTTGAGTTGGATACAGAAGTTCAGTAAGAGCTTGTTAAATACGTGCAAACGTCTTATATTCCATATTTTAACACTGTTATCGTAAGTTGTCATATTAAGTCCCTCTTGGCTTGGGCACATCCCAGAAAGAGCTTTTTTGGGGGCTCATATAGGATTTGAACTTGTGTCACTGTGGTCTTAAAAAAAAAATAGAAGCTTAAATATGTTCATGTGAATAACATGGTACAAGCAGGTACAACATTACCTATGAGTGTGAAGCAGACTATTTTAAAATGTGAATCCTGAGGCTGACAGTGTAAGCTGGAAACTGGGTTCTGAAGTTGGGGCAAGTTTGGGTTTGAACAGCTTCCTGTGTAGCCTTCAGCAAACCACTTTCCCCGAGCCTCAGTTTTCTCACCTGTAAAATGGTAACATCAAAAACACCCATGTTCATAGAAGTCCTTTGGTTCTGTCACTGGGAGCTTCTCTTTGGTTTTCTTTCTAATATTGTGGACAATCTAGTGATGTATAGTCTCCACTGTCTTTCCAATTATCCTTCTCAGTACCCCAGCTTTCTGCCCCGTCTTATTCTTTCTTCCTTTAGGCAGATCCTATCCCTGAAGTCTTGTTCATTTCTCACGACAAGAAGCTCAGCTTGTTGCCTCACCACACAAACCACAATACTTGCCCCGATAGCTAACGTTAGGAGCCTTCATGAAACGGAGTCCCTGCCGAGGAGGCCAAAGGAGCCCGGTGCCTGGCGGAGGCTGACCCGTCCTTGAACCTGACCCCTTTCCCGGCCGAGGTGCTTTCCTCACCAGCGTCTGCGTGGCCGAGGCGTCCTGTGGGGATTCGTCCTGTTCTCACAGAAAGGTCTCAAGTTTAGAGCTACACCCTCCAGGCCAAGAGGAAAAATAGCTTTCTGTAATGAAAACGGTTAAGTTCTCAAAAAATTTAATACAGCATTTTAACAACCTACATGATCTGTATGTAGCAGCAACCAGTATTGATGATAAAACTGCATATTTCGAATAGTAAAAAAATGCAAACTGTGCTCTTCAGAAAGAAACCTAAAGGAAAAAAAAGAACATTTGTTCAAAACTCCACAAGTGAAAGAAAATATTAATGGAACTATAACATAAGCTCCACAGGGCAGGGGTTTTGTTTGGCCTGCGCTCTGCTACAGCCCACGTGTGTAGGACAGGGTGGGCACAGAAGGTGCTCAATAAATACACGGCGGATGGCTGTTCTGACAATGAAATCTGATCAGAAATTGCAGGAATTAGAAGTGCCCAGGCGATGAATCTAACTAAAAAGCTAGATAAAATGTGGCATTTTAAAATGACCTTGAAACAAAATGAATTAAATAGTTCTTTTCAGTTTATAAATGGCTATTATTGGTTTAAAAACTAGCCAAAGACCGACCGGTCAAGAAGCAACGAGTATTTGGATATGTTTAGTGTATAAAGTTTTATAATATACCTGTCAAATATCCCGCCAGTCCGCAGCCCACAGCCTTCTTGTCCCTGCTTGCAGTCCTGGGTGTCTTTTCTTTTCTAATATCCTTTAGTTACAAGGAACCGACGGCAAACGCCGACGAGCCAAAGCAGGAAACGGGAGGTGGGCTTTGCTGGAGGGACTCTGGCGGCTGATGGGCTGGAAGAAGCACCAGCTCAGGCCTGGTGGGCTGGAAGGAAAGTCTTAGCCGTCAGGACGGTCTCTTCCTGAATGTCTGCCTCCTTCTCTGAAGTTTTTTCCATGCGCTTATAACCAAGGTGCCAACATCAGCAGACTCTGTCTGTCTTCCTCTCCTGAGAGGAAGTGTTTTCATAGATCCAATTAGAAGGACCAGGGAGGGAGGCCAATTGGTTGAGCTTGGGAGACACTGCCCATGTCATGGGCCAGTCTCTGTGGACGGGGAGGGTGGGGCACAGGAGGACCTGGCAGCCCCCCTTTAGGATGTGCCAGCTATGAAGGTGAGCAGTTCCCTACGGAGCGACGAACAGCCCAGACGAGAGCAAATGTCCTTTGTAAGGACAACGAAAGCGCTGCTGGGAGCCCTCCCAGACGGACGGCCTCCTGCGGGCCGGCCTGCGAGGCTTCCCATGGTCAGAGTTTGGGTCCTTGTTGTCCTGAGAGCAGTTAACTGAATTACTAAGATCTTCATTATTAAAATGAGATAACAGTTTTATCTGAACTAAAAAGGCAAGCATAACATTAGTATCTTTCCCTGAGAGATCAAACCTCCTCATCACAACTTCATAAGGTTGGACAAGCCCGATATGCTGATGAATGAAAAGTCCTTCCATGTTACCAACTGGGAACCACAGCCAGATGCTGATCTGAGGCCTCGGTGAGGGGAAGGAGACCGGCTCTGGCCTCCCGCGTTTAACGTGAAAGACCCACGTCCCAACAAACCAGTGCAGCCACAGAGCGGTGTGTGATATTTGGCTTTACTTTATAAAAATACACAACTTAAATACATAGGACACTCTCTATACACGACATAAACAACTGCTGGATTTAACACTTTCAGTTATTGCAATAGAAAGCAAATGTGAATCACCTCGTAAGAGAAATGGTCTGTTTAGAGACTCTGCATTCACAGTCAAAGGGCAACCGATGCAGGAAGCCTTCCAAACGGTCCACCCCCCACCCCACCCCGCCTTCACTGCACAGCCATCGGCACTGCCTGTTCCAACAAGCAGATGCACCCACATCACAGTTTAAACGGCCGTCTTCTCCAGAGGTGTCTCATGGGAAAACCAATGTGCAAATAGTATCCAGTGTATCTTACAGTTGTGCTCAATTCCAATCCCACGTCCGAACCTCTTTCCACTTTGCAGAATTTGCAATGGAAGGTGGTTAGCTATATTTTGCAGCTAAATTCGTTTTCAAAAGTTTTGCCAAATCACAGGCAGACCCAGCGAGCTGTCACTGTCACACACTGTGTGCAACAGCTCACCCCTTCCAACCTGAAACGGAAACCCCTCACCCCTCTACACTGTCCCTGTCTGCGAGGGGCGGCGACCTCATTCCGGGCTGCACTCACTGCTTTCTTTCAGAAACTCAGCTGCTTGCCTATGGCTCATGGGGCTAACAGTGAAGCAGGTTCTCGCTTATGGGTATAAAAAACATTGAGTTCAATGCTGAGAACATAAGGTAAGTTTCCTGAGGTAAATGTGAGCCTTAAAGAACAGTGCGAGCTACAGCATGAGAGCAGCTATGTGGGGCAGCAGCATAGTCCGCTAAGACTGACAACGCCCAGGACACGCTCATGTGAAGCAGCAAATGCCAGCGGGGACTCAGAAATGCTGATGGTCCAGAATCTACTCTAATGGAGGCGGCAGGAGAGGCAGCGGGCAGAGGCGGTGCAGGCTAAGTGCGTGGGTGGGTTGGATGATGAGTCTGAAATGCCTCCAGGGGTTTCTAACAAGTTTTGGTGACTCAGATGTGGAAGGAACGGCTTTTCTTTAGTAATAACTGTTCAAACTTTTTATTCCTTTTTGAATTCTCTCTAGAAAAATTTTTTTTAGCCATTGCAATTATTCTGCTGTTACTCTCACTGATGTGCTCTGACTGAATAATTTTAAGATTGAATTATAAAGGGCATTGCACCAAGAAGTTACTGCACAGAGGTCTGTAAGTTTGTATAAAATTAGTACTAAGAACACTTCTCATTGCTGTTCATGCTTCATTACCTTCTAATATTCTACTCAAGAATTATGGAAGTCATAAAATCCTGGCTTCCTCTCCTGCTTTGCCATAAGTTAAGCAGCTCATGGCCGTGTACACTAACTCACAACAAAGGTGCTGGGACCTGAGTCCCAGGACCTGAGAGCAGGAGCAGGCTGAATTTCAACAAGCCAGTCGCTACCCAGGGGTACGGATGGAAGGCTAAAGAACACCCACTCCACCCCCAGACGCACGCTCTCACTGCAGGTGAGTGAGGTGGCCGACCCAGGGCTGGAGGACAGAATGAAAACTGGCCCCAGCTGCTTATACAGGGCCCCACACTCAGCGAGTGGGCAGGTCCCCTTGGGCTGACATGGCATGCGGGATCCCTCACCACACGACTCCTCAGTTCTGCAGCCAGCCAGCAGAGCGATGCTCATACTGTAGGCATGGTGGCGGCCTTAAGCATTATCGGCCTTAAGCATTGTTGGGTTGGAGTCCTACAGGCCCAGAACTGGTTAAAATCAAACAGCCAGAGGAAAACCCCACCAGAAATCGTATCTCAGATCTCAATTCAGAAAAAATTGAGAGAACCTACCAGAAAACAATGCTCTGGTTTCCTGACAAGCTCCCTGCGGCCCCAGGGCAGCCACGGAATGCAGCTGCTTTGGGAGGGCAAGAACCCAGACCACAGAGGGCGTGAATGGATGGAAGTGCCTTCCTCCTGAGTGTAGGCACGCTGCCTGGCCATCTATGTGGGAGAGCTGGTGAAGCTCACAGGAAGCAGTGCCCTATGTACCTTAAAGCCCCAGTCAGTGCAGCACGATCACAGCTCAACACATGAGCATCGTCATGAGAGTGACAGGCGATAGGCCCCACCTGAGAGAAAGGCCAGGCGTGATCACCCATCCCTGGGAGACCGAGCGGAGACTATGGGGAAATGGGTTTTTCTCCGTGTAGTTTTTATAATCTGTGGTTTAAAATATCACTATTCAGAAAATTGGGACCCAAGCAAAATTACGGCGATTCCTCCCACACAGGCTTTAAGACCTCCTTGAGCTCTCACCCCCCACACGAGCCTCTGGTCACCCAGACCCAGGCCCGGCTTATAAGGGAGGCAGTGGGTGGAAGCCAGGGACTGAGAGGAATGATGGCGGATGTAGTATACAGAACAAGGAGGCTCCAGAGGAGCTAACACTGAGGAGACCTGGCTCGTTGGGCAGCACCCCTGCCTTTCCCACCGGTATTTGTCTGCAGCAAATAACGCAGAAACCAAAAGGCATAAACCTCACATGGGGGCTCCGAGCGCTAAGGCATCCAATGTGCCTGAGCCGGGCTGCAGCCCCTGGCGATGTGTGCACAATCCAGGGTGCCCTGCAAGCCCTTGTCTTGGGTGCGACTCCTCATTCCCAGGTGATGATGCTCCCCACAGCAACCAGCACCCATTTCCACAGCCAGGGAGCGACCTCAGATCCAGGGGCGCAACTAGCTTTTACCCTTAGGACTGGCTCGTCTCTCCCCCTGGTGGTCAGAGAAGGGAACAGACTAAATGTCAAAAAAGGGCTGCTTACTTCAGAATCGCATCGCTGTTTCACAAACTTCCAAAGGGCTCTAAGAGTGCATTAATTTTAGATGGATGGTTACGAGGCCACCTAAGGACTCATTCTAAAAGGAGCAACTTGCTTGTGAGGTCACACCAACTTCCAGGGGTTTCGATACTGTCTGCTAGTTTTTCTTCTGATGGTGAATTAATAAAAAAGAGACAAGGTGAAGGGTCTTCCTGTCCTCCCTCCAGAAACCTGTGGACCCTCCTGGGCAAGGGGCCTGCGGGAGTCAACTTGGAATGTGCGATGAGCGCCGCGCAGACGTGGTTCCCTCGCCCCCTGTGAAATGGCAGCAGGCGCCGGATGGCTGACGTGGGGCTGACACACACGGGAAGGAGCAGGGAGTCTGCGGAGGGAAGCCCACGCCGGCTGCTGCGCCTCCAGGGAGGCCTGTCTGGACGGAGCCCCCGCGTCCTCTCCGCACGGCCTACTTGATGTTTTTCAGGACGGCCGTGCGGGCGTTCACCACCGCCTTGAAGGCGTCCTCACTGCCCGGCGCCACACACTTGTCGGGGTGCAGCAGCACGGCGAGCCTCCGGTAGGCCTTGTTCACCTCCTCCCTGCGGGAGGGCAGAGCTCCGTTAGTGACAGTTACGTTTTAGCTGCTTGAATAACGGTAAGCACATCCCAAGTAACTACCACCCCTTTTAAAGATGGGACTAGCAAACAACAAACAAACAAATAATAAATAACATACAACTAAGAAAAAAATGCAGTAGAAACTGAGTACATAAACGCTGAGAAAACGTTTGGTAAAGGAATGATCGGATGAAAACAGACAGCACTTGGCACCTGGTGGCGCTGAGTGAGTCTGACAGCAGTAAGGGCGGGGGGCGGTCAGGACAGGCCCCCGGGCAGGCTCTGAAAATGGGGGTTGTGACCTAACATGGGGGAGGGAAATGCCGGCAGAGAACTGCAGGCTGGGCACAGGCTGGGGCCCGGCGTGTAGTTCCCTGAGGAAGCTGTGGGAAAGACAAGGAACCAGTCGGCCAGGGAGAAGGTCAGTAAGTGAAAGGCCACGGAGGCAGAACAACAGGCAGCGGGCTCTGATCAGCAGCAAGAGGAGGCCTCCATGGCACAGGGTGTGGGAGTGCCGCTTCTTGAGGTTAGGGGTCAGGCGGGGTGCCGCCATAACCCAGGTGAGAGCATAGCGTAGCTGGTTGTCCGTGCAGAAAGAGAAAGGGATCATGTGGAGCAGGAGGGGCAGTGGCCAGATGCACAGAGGGGTAAGCTACAGGAAAAAGGGCTGAAATGAGTCGTTTCCAGGGGAATCTGAGGTCCAGGGTAGATGGGATACCAATGGCCAGGAAGGAGCACCTGAGGGGTACAGTGAGCTCCGGAGACAAAGAAGAAATGAGAGATCAATCTCCCAGAGAGGAGAGGAGTATAAGACCCGCAGAGCCCCGAAGAGATCTTAGGCTTCTGAGCTCCCCAATGAGTGGGAACCAGTCAGGGAGGGGCCTGGAGTCCATCTGGTCCTGTAACCTTCCCTGCTCTTTTTTATTTTATTATTGTTTTTTAAAATATACTTTTTATTGATTTCAGAGAGGAAGGGAGAGGGAGAGAGAGAGAGAGAAACATCAATGATGAGAGAGAAGAATTGATAGGCTGCCTCCTGCACGCCCCCCATTGGGGATTGAACCCATAACTGGGCATGTGCCCCGACCGGGAATCAAACCGTGACCTCCTGGTTCATAGGTCGATGCTCCACCACTGAGCCACACTGGCTGGGCTCCCTGCTCTTCTTTACGCTCAGATGTCAGGCCTCTGAGAAGCTTCTAGAACCCAGTCACTGCTGGAAGGAGTCTGCTCTGTCTCCACTGGATGGCTTTCTTTCCCACCTTTTGTAATCGAGGTTCCCGCTGTCTCCTGAGGCTGGGTAGCGCGCTTTCTGAATGCCCTAGCTTTCCTCCTGTACTTTTTATCAAAGGACTTCTCGTTTGGCTCTGTAAATTAGGGAAATGGCCTTTGACTTCTTGGTGTGATGGAAAGTCTATGTCAGCTTGGAGAGACAGGTCTCAGGGCCACGTTAAGTTCTCCGTGTCCTGAGCATACGTTCTATGGCTTTTTCTGTTCTCTGCTCTTAGGGGAGTCCTGCATTCTCGTTTTAATCTTTCATGGAGCTCTTCTACATAATTTTAATATCAACTCCCAAGAATCACATTTCCCCCGAAGGACTCTCTGTCTCTGAGCAGGTTCAGCATCCTCTCTCTTCCCCGTGAGTGAGTCCTGGGGAGCCCTTCTCTGCTTCCTGAAGAAACATGTCCACTGGGGACTGGTATGAGGCCTGGCCCCCTGCGCTAAGAGAGCCTTTGAGGAATTCTGGACACAGACAGTAGGGGAGTGAGGGCCAGGGTTAGGGTGTGGGAGCGGGCTGGGAAAGGTCAGTGGGGGGAAAAGGAAACATGTAATTTTCAACAATGAAGACTTTTAAAAAAGGATTCTGGGTAGCAGAGGCGGCTTTCAAGGAAAATTATGGAGAAACAGGACTGAGTCAAGTGTGTAAGAAATATATTAATTCTACTGAAGATTAAGATTTTCTCCAAATTCAAGAACAGTAAACAATTAGCACTGAACAAACATTAAAACTGTCTATAACTTAAAAAAATGTTTGTAGGTTTTGCCTCAGTGTGTTCAATACCATACGAAATTAGTTTGCTCTCTCCAGAAAAGCAAAGGTAAGAACAGGACATGTTTCTACTGGCGAAGGGCACGGAACTTAAGGAGATCCTGTAAATGTTAGTAGATTCCAATTAACCAGAGTGAATAAATAAGAAACCAAAGCTTACTTTTCTGTAATAAACATTATTCTAAGTTAGTAAGCAATCGTTTCTTAGTTTTAGAGCCAATATCCCTTGAGGATGAAATGGAAGAATTTAGAATGAGACATGGAAACTTTAAAGTACGTTTAAAAGATCCCGGTGATGAGGACAATGGGGGGGTGGGGGCGGGGAAAGGGCAGAGGGTGGGGTGGGAACCTGGTGGAGGGGGGAAAAAAATGAGGAACTTTTGTAATAATATGAACAATAAAGATTTATTTAAAAAATAAAAATAAAAGATCCCGGTGAACTCTGTGCTTAGAAGCCTGGCCAGTCGAGGTGACCAATAACTGCCTTCCTCCTCCCTCCCCTCTTTGCTTCTGGACTAAAGATACGCTCTGAGACCAGAATGGAGAAGAGATGCTAACACTATTGATGCTCACAAGACAACTTCAAGGTGTGCTGGTGTGGGTGTGGGTGTGGGTGGGGTCAAGGTGAATAAGTAGAAAGGGAGAACTATGGAGAGAAAAGCGATGGTGCAAAATCAAAAGATGTGAGGACTCTTATAATTAGAATATGCACAGTGACAGTATTCTATAATAAAAAGTGATGCAAACTTGGACAGTTCTTAAGAGAGTAGATCCCAAGAGTTCTCATTACAATGAAAAACACTTTTTTTTCCCTTCTGTATGAGATGATGGATAGTAACTAAATTTGTGGTCACTGCTTCACATTGGGCTGTACACCTTAAACTATACAATCCTGCATGTGAATTACATTTCATTAAAACTGGGGGGAAAGTTCTATGACCAAACTGAACAACGGGGGAAAAAGAAAAAGTTATATGACCATACTGAACAATGATTTATTCTTGCACAGTAACAGAGTAGTGATTATATTTCTTTTTCTCCCAAATAATTCTTTTGGCTAAAATAAAGTATCATAAATACGCACAGATGAGAATAAAGACACATACGCACACACAGAAGGTGGGGGGAAGAGGGAGAGGGAGGAGGAGAAGGAGAGGGAGAAAGGAAGAGAAAGAGGGAGAGAGAGAGAGGAAAAGAGAGAGAGAGAAAGGGGGGGGGGGATACTCACGCTCACATGGTGTGTTCAGGGTCAAGAACAATTCTGCCACTAACTCCTGAGGTTACTGAATGTATTTAGTCTCACTAAGTCCCAGTTTTCCCAGCTATACAATGAAATGTTTGGACAAGTTGATTGCTAACATTTTTCCTCTTCTAAAACTCTATAATTTAAGAGTTCTCTTTTGTAAGGTATTTTTTAAGGTTCATTAGCTTCAAGGCTCTTAATTCCACAAGAGCAGAGCGTACGATTCCGAAAAGCATTTCTGCACACAAACTACAGCTTCCACCTCAGGCACCTGCTACCGCCTGAGTACCAAAGAAACAAGCTGTTTCTGACTCAGTGAGAGAGTGTTATTGAGTCGTTGGATACATTTCCACACACCTCTATATTTCTCGACAACTGTGAGGAGGTATTTTGTGCCTGTGATTTTGACAATGGAGCCGTTCTCTATCACAGAACTCAGCACTAACATCACAGAGCACTGCTTACCTTGAGGCTCCGGGTTTGACTCCCAACATGTCCCAACTGTCTTTACAATTCCGAATTCTGCGAACGGTGTCTGCTTGTTCTTTGGTGAAACTGGCACTGCTATTTGGGATAGGACGTTTCCCGCCATTTTCACATAAGTCAACTATGGATGCATAAAAGGTCTGCAAAAGGAAACACATCCCACAGTAGAACTGATTTTGTGAAAATAGGAATTGCTTTTAAGCATTAACTAAAGGATTTTAATATATTTCAGCAACTCTTAAAATTCATAATAAAGTAAATATTTCAGAGGGAAATAAGATCAGAGAAGTAAAGGAAAGTATACTGTTGGTGAGTGAAGAGAGAGAATCTCAGCAGACAATTGGGAACCACTCAAAAGAATCAAATGCAAATTCTAGAACTGAAGACTGTTGAATTGAAAAATTCCCTCAGTGGATTCAACAGCAGGTTGAAGTCAAAGCAATAGAGATTATGCAATCTAAAAAATAGAGAAAAAAGTGGAATAAAAATAAACATAGCCTCAAGAATTGTGGGATAAAAATCAAATGATCTACTATGTATCAATAGCTGGAGTCCCCCCCCCCCCCCCCAACACACACCAAAAAAAAAGGAGGGAGAATAAAAAGGAGAGACAACAGGGCATAATATAAAGGTTTTAAAAAAACCTCCCCAGCCCTAGCCAGTTTGGCTCAGTGGATAGAGTGTTGGCTTGCAGACAAAAGGGTTACAGGTTTGATTCCAGTCAAGGGCACATGCCTGGGTTGCAGGCTTGATCCCCAGTAGAGGGCGGGCGTGAGGGAGGCAGCCATCAATGATTCTTATCATCATTGATGTTTCTATCTCTCTTTCTCCCTTATTCTCTGAAATCAATAAAAATATATTTTTTAAAAATCTCCCCAAATTTCCTGAAAAACACTGCACATCAATCCAAGAAGCTCAACAAGCCCTTCGTAGGATAAATTTAAGGAGAACCACACGTAGGCACATAGCACAACTACTGAAAATCAAGGAGGAAGAGAAACTCTTCAAAGTAACTGGAGGAGAGCCTGACCAGAGTGGTTCAGTGGCTGAGTGTTGATCTATGAACCAGAAGGTCACGGTTCAATTCCTAGTTGGGGCACATATCTGAGTTGAGGGCTCAATCCAATCAGTGATTCTCTCTCATCATTGATGTTTCTCTCTCTCTTTCTCCCTCTCTCTTCCTCTCTGAAACCAATTTTAATTTTTTTTAAAGAAAGTAACTGGAGGGGGGAAAAAGACATTGCACACAACCGAGTAAGAGTAAAAATGGGTGCTAACGTCTCAGGAGACACACTAGAGACCAAAGAGAAAGAACTGACAAACATAAAGTGCTGATTTAGCCCCCAGATATTATCTGTGACTCTCCGCCAAATCACTACTCCTCTCGGGCGCTCTCATATCTGAGAAATAAGAGTGATAATTGCCGTACATTGTTGAGAGTCTTAAAAGTGATGACATATGTAAACCCTCTAGAAGTGTAAAACACCATTCAAATGGCTGAGTATTATTGCTGCACATATACTGTATAGGTACAAACCCACATAGGGCTGTTTCACAAGAGGAGAATCGTGGCAAGCCAACACAGCCTTATTTGGTCTGGAAATAGAAGCTACTGGTGCCCAATTTAGCCTGACAGCGAGGATGGAACCTGTCTTCCAGGAGGAGGGGTGACACTTGTGAGGAGAAAATTCTGCATAAAAGATTAAGTAAGATCCCACTCAATAATTAAGAACAACTCTCTATAGTATAGCTACATTACTTAAAATGCTAAAAATGCCCAAAATATCAGATGTAGTCATAAGAAAAAAATGCATTATTCATGCCACCACTTACTTCCAAATGGATGTCATTAAGAGTTGACTTGACTTTATCACTTAAGTATTTGAACAGCCTCCTCCCCTTAAAATTATTCAAGATCAGTAAATGTTTAAAAAGTGGCCGTCTACTCAGCTTGCACAGTGAATGCATCCTTCTATTGCCCACGTGATTGGTGAGACCTGTTTTTGTGTGTGACTGGCTGGATGTGTAACAGCTGCACATGGCCATGACACAGGATGATCTTAGCATGGCAAGCCAATTCTGCACACAAATGTAAGCAAAAGTAATTTGGAAAAAAAGTCTCTGTCCCACTGAGGTAAGTATAAAATAGCTGCTGTTAAACTTGATAATCATCAGAATCACCTAGAAAGCTTTTTCAAAATATCGATTTCTGGCTCTATCACAACATTAAGCTTCCAATAGGCCTGGAACCCAGCAATCTGTATTTTGAAGAATTTCCTCAAGTAACTCTGATGATCAGCTAGGTCTGGTCTAAAATAGACAGTAGACATCACACACACATATCATATTCATATTCATACTAGAGACCCAGTGCATGAAAATTGGTGCATGGGGTGGGGCAGGGAGGGCTCCCTCAGCCTGGCCTGCCTCCTCTCACAGTCTGGGAGCCCTTAGGGATTTCCTACTGACAGCTTAGGCCTGGGGGAGTGGGCCTAAGCTGCAGCCTGGCCTCCCTCTGCAGGAGGTGACCAGGCTGATCAGGGGAAGGCGCTGTCCCCATCATCCCACTGCTGCTGCCACTGCCAGCTGTGGCAGCTGTGAGGACTGAGCCCCATGCCTCACAGCTACCAGGGCTCATGGCTGCCTGAGCCCCGGGCCTCACAGCCACTGTGGCTTTGTCCAGATGGATGCCCAGAAGATGTCCGCCCTAATTAGCTTATTACCCTTTTATTAATATAGATTCTTTCTCTTTTTCTCACCAGCTTCTGAAAAGAAAGAGCTTATTCAAATGAGAAATTGCTGTTTTGCTTCTCATAATTTAAAATAAAATTTCGCAAGGGCAGTTTCGACACAAATTTTAAAACAACAAAATGCTAGGTTACCTGGAACATCTCATTAATTCCCTCTCCGGTTTGTGCTGAAGTTTCAAAGTACAGGAACCCTTTGCTTTCGGCCCAAAGACGCCCTTCACTTTCATCCACACAGCGGTGCTTGGTGCAGTCAATCTGAAATGGCAACGAGGGCCAAAGACGGCCAGTGAGGTCTGTCAGCCCTTCACTAAGTAAATACTATTCTTAAATGAACCCAGCCTCGCACATCAAATGCCCAGGACCCAAAGGGACAAGAGGATGACTGACTGAGTGGGGCCTGTTAGCGTACGTCCCGCGTATCCCTGGAGGGCACTGCTGCTGGCTCCCCAGCCTGCCACACCACCCAGGGGTCCGGGGGCCAGGTCTGCTTTTCACACCTTTCCATGGACACTCTTCACCTGATCACCACCCTCCTCCAATCAGATCGAAGTGTGACGATTGGCCTCCACCTCTCCTGCTGTCACCAGACACAAAAACGGGTAAAACCTGACATCCAGCTGTTGTTTGGTTGTTCTTGTGTTAGGGACCTATGTTTTGAAAAGTTGTTGATTCCTATATTACCGGAAAGGAATTTTTCTTTCCTTTTTTGTTCCCCCAAACTCAGAGCTGCACTCCTCCCACAATAAACCTAGGAAGCCGAGCGTGCCATTCCAAAGCATTACCTTGTTGGCACACACTACGAAGACCACGTTTTCCATGTTCCCATGAGGCCCAAGGTCTTGCTTCATTTCCGCCAGCCACGTGTCCAGGGCCTCAAAGGAGTCCTTCTGCCCCACGTCGTAGACCAGCAGCACGCCCTGCGTGTCCTTGTAGAACTCGTTGCGCACCTGCAGAGAAGAGGATGCACAAAGCCGGACCGGCAGGCGGAGGGCTTTGGGGTTAATAGGGAAAGGTAAAACCCACACCGGTTTGTTTCAAAAGAAGAGAATCGTAAAGTTTGCCAAGTTCGTTCTTTTGTGCATTCATCGTATCTGCTGTTGTATCTCAATATCTGCTGGCCTGCTGGCCTTCACTTCAGGGGACGTTTTACAAAGCCAAAGTAACACAATAAACAATCCGCTAGCACAGAAGGCCTGGGAGGAAACAGTGGCTCTGCCTCCCCTCCTCACCTCCAGCTCCGCTCCCAGAGGGGACAACCATGACGTGTGGTTGTCAGACCTTAAAATAACACAATTATGTCACGTTCTTCTCAGGAAGAACATGGGAGCTGAGTGAACAATGAATAAGAACTTACGGCAAAAATGACACAGATACTAGAACAGGCAGAGCCATCTAGACATCCCATCCGCAGCCAGCTTTCCCGGGCGGCAGGTCTCTCTGAGGCCTGGAGCTCAGCAGCAGCCGCAGAGCTGCACTCAGAGCCACACCTGCTCACACTGACTATGGTGTGACTAGGGGCAGGCCCTAACCTCTCGAGTCTCAGTTTCCTCATCTGCAAAATGGGGACACCCTCCTCACTCCCCAGGGTTTATGGAGAGTAAACGAGGTGACGAAGGCAAAGCACCGCCATGTGCAGTAGCCTCCTACCCCCCACCCCCTTCCTCTCTCTCCCTCCCGGAAAATGGAGAGATGGCTTTTCCCTATTCTTCCTGTAAGTACAAGGGGAGCCTGGGCACCACACAGAAAACACATCAGAAGTCTCGGGAAGTGGAGAGAAGGAGGCAGACAAGCCTGGACCTCTGGCTGGGGACGGACAATGTGAGTTTCCTGGGCTTCCTGTGCCGCATGCATGCAAGACAGGCAGCTGAGGGAGTCCACCTGGAAACGCCACACACAAAAGCCCTACAGAACCCGCTCTCTAGACAGAAGACCAGGCCAGGGGAAGCCTCACGAAACAGAGAAACTTTAGACAATAACCACTCACTTCCGCTAGCACCTCAAAAGATTCTGCCTCTCCACGCCCCGCCCCCCTCGGGCAAAGGCTGGGTAGAGACTTCAGAAAAATAAATCCCTGAGAAACACTAACAAAATGAAAAAGCTTAGAAATTGAGCTCAACGACAAATGGAGGGGACAGTGGAGAGAATCAGAGAACTAGAAGGGAGACAATAAAATTAGGCAACCTACACAACAGAGAGAGAAACAAACAAACAAACAACAAGCAAACAGAACAGAGCCTCAGGGGGACCCAGGGGACTACAAGATGAGAGTCCCGGGGAGGAGAAATAGGGTGGGACTGAAAAAGCGCTCAAAGAAATAATGGCTAAAAACCCCTCAAATGAGGCAAGAGACATAAACCTACAGATTCAAGAAGCTGAGCAAACCCCAAACGGGAAGAGCAAAGAATCCATGCCAACACATCACAATTCCACCTCTGAAACGAGAGACGAAGGGGAAACCATGAGAGCAGCCAGAGAAAAGTGACGCCTCTCTTCTGGGGAAAAACGTTTCAAACGACAGCAGAGTTCTCAGAAACCGAGACCGGAGGACTGTTCGGCGCCGAAAGGAAGGAACCACCGCCCGGGCTGGCCGGTGCGGGGCTGGCCTGGTCACTGGCCCTGCCACCAGGGAACTCCGGCTCCGGGCTCAGCGATGAGGTGAGAAGCAGCTCCTCTAACAGCTGGTCCTACACCAGCTAAACTCACTTCCTGTTACACATGGTTTGGAGATGGCTGTCTCAGGTAATTCAGGATCACTGGCTAAACCATGACGACAGTGGGCATAGGTTTTCTCAAAAAGGTGCTCTTACCTCATAGAAGAAGGGGTGTCCAGCCATGTCAAAGATGTTCACTTTGATCTCTCTGTCTCTGACTTGTACCCTGAAAAGTTCACATGAAAAAATAAAAAATAAACCATAGAAGGTCATAGATTCTGCGTTCACATTAACATTATTCGTCACTTGTAAAATCTGTCACTGTAAGTTTTAAAGGAGTCTGTGTGTGAACTTTCAAAGAGCTTCTCAGTGCTGCCTCTCCCCGACCCCGCATCATCTGCCACAGGAGCCAGCACCCGGTAGGCAGCCCTGCTCCTTATTCTTACAGCACCGAGCCTCCTGGCAAAGGCATTCACTCCCTCCAACCTCCCCAGGGCCCGCATCCCCCCCTCATGACAAAGGGCGGCTCTGACTATGGGATTTGGGACAAGTAGAAGCAAGATGAAGGAAAACAAATATTTTGTTTCTCCTTAGTAAGACATCTTAGTTACTACTGGTTATACTTGGTTACCATGCAGGACAGTAACAATGATTACATTATTAACAATACCTGTTTAATTTTCTTGTTATCTTCATTTGAGCAATAGCAATAATCAATTTTTTTTCAGAAAGTTGGAAATAGAGAACAGAGCAAAAAGGGAAATAATAACCATTTATATTAGAATTAACTACTGTTAACATCATAGCATTTTTGCTTCTAGTCTTAAAAAAAATCACTACTGGAAAATGAATGAACAAAACATTGTAAATAATTTGCACTAAGGTTAAAGAATAGAGATTATAACAGTAAATTAACCAAGGGGTGTCTTTTTTAAGTAAATATTTCAGTCTTAGCATTGGTACGACTCCCTCCCTGCAGGGGGATGAGGGAGGGGCAGGGGAGAACCAGGACATCGGCACCTGCTCCCTATTTCCCACAGTTGTTGTCTAGTATTTGTATATTTAAGTCAAACTAACCACCACTCCTCGTCTTATCGAATTCCCTCTGCTGAGTTCTCTACCACATCTCATCACAAGTAAGACGCACATTTGTGAAATCAGAATCCATCTAATAAAAGAGAACGTGAGAACAGCAAGGCAAAACAAGAGTTTGAGAGCATCTACAAAAGACCTGGCATAATAATTTATACTATTGATAGAAAATTTTACCTTAGAGAGAGAGCATTTGAGAAGGTATGGAACTGGAGTATATAAAGCCAGACAGTAACACAAGCGTGCTCACACACGCACACTCACAGAGGTCCATTTAACCTGAAGCCAGAGAAATCTGCCTTAAGAAAGACGGCAATGCATCACCTCCGGGCAGTGCTGCCCCACGCTGCGCCCCAAGACCACTGCGTCCGACTGGGGAGGGCTGTGAGAACCAGACCCGGAAACCATAACCTCAGCCTAGGAGTCTGCACACTGACAACTCCACAGGCAATTGCTAAGAATACGGAAGTCTGAGGCTCACCATATGAAAACAGGACAGATGGAATGGGCATGTTATTGTAATGGCCAAAGAGTACCCCTCTTCCCCCTCCCCTCCTCTCCCAATGTGGTTCAGATGTTCTCAGCGATCCCACAGCTGACGGAGCTGGAAAGGTGTCTGTCCTACCTGACGGCCAAACCTTCCCTGCAATCTTTAAACTTGGAATATTAGTTTCATTCCCTCGCCAGAAGGAAAATGTACACAGCGTGAGCCTGAGAGCTGCTGGCAGCTGAGTGGACAAAGCCAAGAGGAACAGAGAGAGAGAGAGAGAGAGAGAGAGAGAGAGAGAGAGAGAGAGAGAGAGAGAGAGAGAGAGAGAGAGAGAGAGGTGTATATAAATAGAGAAAGAGGTAGAGAGGAAGAGAGAGATGACTTGGCTATATTTGGTTCCTGTCATCTCTGAGGCCCAGCTCCATTTGGATTCTGTGAACTGACGACCTTTTTATTTTTTTGCTGGAGTTCATCTGAGTTGGGTTTCTGTCAATTATATCCTCCTGACTCATCAGGGATAACCATCTTCTCCAAAAACATTTTAGCCACAAACAGAAGAGTCTGTTGAATAGACCACCACTCTGTGGCATAACATGGTGCTTCTCATTTCTTAGACGGATAAACTAGTGACTTATGTGATCCAAAACAAAACCAGGATCCCCTCACACATCACTGATGAAATCCTGTGCCCTGCACTACAGATACACCCTCCCTGCCCATCTACCTTTCTGAAGGTTGCTCTAATATTCTAATCTTGCAAACTTCCCACTCGGATATATCCATCTTACCTAACAATCAATATTTATTGAGCATCTACTACGTACAAGCCCTGAGCCAGGCACCTGGAGATCATTTACACTAACTACCCCTAGATTAGCGCTTACAATCTAGCGAGAGACATTAAATATATACAAATCATAACAACAACACAAAGTGACTTATGGTAAGTACCATAAACAGCAGAGAGTTTAGTCCTGACTGATGGAGGTGTTCAGGGACAGCAGTATTTCACACCTTGCAGGGACAGACAGGTGGAGAGATGAGGGGAAGGGCCATGTCAGGTGCAGGGTGAACACTGGCCCTGAGAGGACAGCATGATGGCAGCTCAGTGATGGAGAGTGAAGGTGTACAGGAATGTAATGAGAGATGGGGGGAGGGGAGAAAAGGGAAATTGGGGCCAGAATAGCAGGTGCCTGAGATTCCACCTTTAGGGGGTGCTGTCTACCTCAATTCTATTTGGCAGCATTATTTCCTATAACTTGGCAGCATTATTTCCCATAATGTAATGCTTCCTCTCCAAAATTATTTTGTCTTCTCCCCTTAATATCAAATATGGGTATGCAATCCACTCTCGATCCATCTCCAAATAAACCCTCAATTATAGCCAATTTCACTCTTTCTGGATCATTTCTCAAGTCCAATAGGCTCTGAAGATCACCAATCAATCAAGTTCTTTGATAGAAAAATTTTCACATAATATTTAGACTTTTTAGAGAGGCTATTTCAAAATGCTCTAAAAACACACCTGCTAATAGGCCCTCCTTCTACAGAAACACGTTTCCTGGAAAGTGACACCTGCCATTAGGCTCCATGCTGACCTGCTCCCCAGGCAGGTCTCGCCCCTGGCAAGGCCTGCAGGACAGGATGCGCTCGGGGAGGAATGCACGCCTGATGGTGCTTTGGGAGGCGAGCTCTGCGCATCTGCACGCTCTCATTCCTACTCTGCCCCAACTGACCTCAGCATCTCTCTCCAGACAGAGCATTTGAGAGGGTTCTGGATTTCTATGTAATTTACAATATACTCACTTTGTGACTCCATAGTCAATTCCAATTGTTGCAAGGTATTTCGACACAAATCTTTTCTCACAGTATCGCTTGATAATACAGCTCTAAAAAGGTGAAAATACATGCTTTTAGTAAATAGCCTCTGAGAACATACACAAAATAAACACATTTCTTCACATGCTTGGTGTCTTCATTCATCACTATAAGAAAGCATTTTTAAAGGCAAAAGTATAAAATAACTGAAACAAATGCTAAAAGTGAAGATTTTAAAGAAAAATTATTTTCTATCCTCCCGTTAATATCAAATATGGGTATGCTTTTAATTTAGTTATTAACCTTTGTACTCTTTTCTTTGAAGATCTCTTTTTTTGTTTTTTGTTTTAATTTCAGAGAGGAAGGGAGAGGGAGAGAGAAATAGAAACATCACTGATGAGAGACAATCACTGCTTGCCTTCTGCACAGCCCACACTGGGGATTGAGCACGCAACCTGGGCATGTGCCCTGACCGGAATCGAACCATGGCCTCCTGGTTCACAGGCTGACACTCAACCACTGAGCCATGCCAGCCAGGCAAGACCTCCTCCACTTTTAACAATAACAACAAAATATCTAAGTCTAGCCTTGACCTCCCTCCCAAGACTAGATCCCCATTTCCAAATATCTGCTAGACTCGTTTCTACTCAGATGTCCTGCTGTTACCTCAAACTCAACAAGTAAAATAGCGCATCCTGCTGACAATGTACTTCTATTAATATTGCTACCATTTTCCCAATCACAGAGGATCAAAAGGTTAAAGTCGTGTCTGGTTCTGAGCCTTTCTAAATCTTGTGAATGTTCCTTCCATCTCTCTCTGCATTCCAAGTGCCAACAGTCCCTCTCTGGTTTAGGTCATGGTGTACTAGACACTGTATGAACTTCTCCATCTTTCTGGCTCCTTTCCTCCCAACTTCAGCCAACACTGCACACCACTAACATTATTTCAACTCAGAAAGCTTTTCATTGCCAAGACTTCAAAATCCAAATTTCTTTGTCTGTTATTCAGGTCCTCGGTAACCTGACCCTAATCTGTCTTCTCTAAACCCTTTTATATGAACTCGACATTTCTGCAAAACTTCCAGGACTTGACTTTCCGACTTTTGTCATTACTTTTCCTTCTACTTGGAATAAACTTTCCCTTGTCTTTTCAAATCTTAGTTATCCTTTAAGGTCCAGCTTGAACTCGGCACTCAGGTTATAAGAGATCTTGTCTGCATCTGAACTTCCCTAGCAATTTACATACACACTATTACACACACACACACACACACACACACACACACACACACACACACCATGCATTGCCATTAGTCATACACTGCCTTGTAGTGTTAGTTACCTTTTCACATGTGTATATTTACTTTATCTCTCCAGCTAAACAGTAAACTATGTGAGGGCATGCACCAGTATTTTATTTCTTTTTATCTTCTGCAAAATTAGATCAGTGCCAATGAAAAACCAATTTAAAATGACTTTTATATTAATAATAATCCTTAGCACTTATGAAACATAATTTACTTGAAGTGCTGATAATGGAGTTTGTTCTACTTAAATACTTTCCTGATGATCCTCAATCTAATTAAAAGGACAATTACTATAAAAGGGACTTAATAAACTTACCCTAGTAAGGGATTTTTAGGTGCAATCTTGCCTTCTCTGGGACTTTCTGAGAACAGCACCCTAATAAGGAATTAAGTGTGAGTGCCCTCTTGTGGACATTCTGAGAATAGCACGAAGTAAGAGATTAAGTACAATAGTGTCCTCTTGTGAACATTCTGAGAACAGCACCCTAGTAAGACATTAGTAACAACAGCACCCTGTTTTTATTAATTTTTATTTTTTTTATTAATATATCTTTATTGATTTCAGAGAGGAAGAGGGAGAGATAGGAGCATGAATTCCAGGCACAAAATCTCATTTTTTCTTATTTCATCTCTAGAACCTCTAAAAAACAATGCTGAGTAATAAAGAAAAATAGTAAGAATCCTTTTTCTACCTATTTTTAATGGAAGTTGCTTTAACATTTTACCATTTGATATGTTTGCTGGCTATTGATAATAAATATTGTTTTATCATAAAGTGTTTACTAGAATTGACTAATTATATCAAATATTTTTTACAGTACTGGAAATATTTTCTCCAGTAATCAGTTGACAACAAATTATGGAGTTGGCATCTTGATATTAAGCTATGTTTGCATTCATATAATAAACCCTTAATAACAGTGAATTATTTGCTTTATTATTGAATTCTGTTGATATTTTAAAATTATGCATCTCTATGTCTATGTAAAATTGGTATATCGTTTTTTTAATACTATATCAATTTTTGCTATTTAAGTTTCCATGACTTCCTATAATAAATTTGAGTCCTATTCATATTTTTCTTTCCTTGGAATAACTTAAGAAACTGAAATTGTTATTTAAAACTTAAATAAGGCTTATTTATGAGCCTGATAGCTTTTTAAATGGAAAATTTCTTTGCTTTATTGATTTCATTTTTTAAAACATATTTTTATTTTTACAGAGAGAAAAAGAGAGGGAAAAAGAGAAAGACACATCAATGATGAAAGAGAATCACTGATTGGCTACCTCCTGCATGCCTTACACTTGGGATGGAGCCTGCAGCCTGGCATATGCCCTGACTGGGAATCAAACTGTGACCTCGTGGTTCATAGGTCAACGTTCAACCACTGAGCTACACCATCTGGGCAATGATAAATCTCTTAATTTCTTTTTAATTTCTTCTGGGGTAACTGGGCAGTTGGGCTTTCTACTTCTTTTTGAGTCAACTTTGGTAATTTATATTTTGCTAGGAAATCCTTTATTTCCTTTACATTTTCAAATGTGTTCCCATAGAACTGTAGGTAGCATTCTCTAATCGTTCTTTAAATCTCTTCTAGTATGTGACTCTCCATTTCAATACAAATCTTGTAACTTTTTGCTTTCTCTATTTTTTCTTAAACAGATTTTAGGCACTTTATTAGTCATTCCAGAGAATTCCCTCTCTCTTTTGATTTATATTGTGTCCTTTTCCTAATGTATCAAGAAATAAATTCCATTAGATTTTTAAAATTTGAGATATGCCATCCCATAAAATTCATTTTTATTTTTAAAATATATTTTATTGATTTTTTACAGAGAGGAAGAGAGAGGGATAGAAAGCCAGAAACATCGATGAGAGAGAATCATCGATCAGCTGCCTCCTGCACAACCCCCACCGGGGATGTGCCTGCAACCAAGGTACATGCCCCTGACCGGAATCGAACCCGGGACCTTTCTGTCCTCAGGCCGACGCTCTATCCACTGAGCCAAACTGGTTTTGGCAAAAATTCACATTTTTAAAGTGTACACTTCCGCCGAAACCGGTTTGGCTCGGTGGATAGAGCGTCGGCCTGCGAAATGAAAGGTCCCAGGTTCGATTCCGGTCAGGAGCATGTACCTTGGTTGCGGGCACATCCCCAGTAGGGGGTGTGCAAGAGGCAGCTGATAGATGATTCTCTCTCATCGATGTTTCTAACTCTCCCTCTCTCTTAGTCTCTGTAAAAGATCAATAAAATATATATATATTTTTAAAAAGTGTACACTTCCATGGTTTTTAATATACCAACCAAGTTGGACAACCATTAAATTCCTTTAGTTTTAATCTCTTCTATAGAAATAAAATAAGGCATTTTCCCCTTTGACAACAGATTTAATTTTGAAGGTTATAATATAGATTTTATTCATTTTTACTGCTTTATAATTATTTTATTTGTTTTGAATTGCCTTTTGATCCAAGGATTATTTACTAGAGCATTCCTTAATATTTAACTTATATTTATTTGTATATCTTTCTACATTTCCCAAATTCTTCAAAATGAGTACTTTTATAATTAGGGGGGAAATGTGTTACATTTAAATCTTTTATTCACCTAAAATTTATTTCTGAGAAAGGAATGCAATAGGAATCTACTCTACTCCCAAATAGTAGGTAATTATTCCAATAGTACTTATTCAATGGCCTCTATGTCCCCAGGATTTCATTATGTTTGTTGTAAGCTAAATTTCCTCATATGTTTGGGTTTATTTCTGAACTCCATTCTATTCCACTAATGTCTCTATATTTCCTTTCCAGTATCTATAGGGAAATCTTGGTAACTTTAAAAGGTGTTTTAATATCTGGTAGTGTTAGTCTCCTTTCATTTGTTTTTCACAATTTTCTTAGTTATTTTCATGTTTCATTTTTCATAAGGACTTTAGTACCTTTCATTATGTTCTGAAGGAAAATCTTACTGGTAATATAACTGGAATTGAATTATATTTGTGTATTAATTTAAAGAATTAACATTTTTATAATATTGAATGATTCTAATTAAGAAGACGTATCTTTCCATTTGGCTAGGTAATTTTATATCCCTTTGCAGAATATGAAATATTTCTTCATACAGATCCTACCTAGTTCTTCTCAATTTTAAATGTAGGCACTTTAATTTAATTTCTCATTGTAAATTAAAATAGTTTTTCAGTTATGTATTCCAAACACTTATACTTTTATGTAGTAAAGCTATTAATTTTTGTATATTAGTTTTTCCTTATTGGATTTTCTTATTGTTTCTAATAGCTTTCAGTTAATTTTCTTTGGGTTTCTAGATAAACAATCATACCATTAGCAAATAATAATATTGCCTTCTTTCCAGTACTTCATGTTTTATTTCTTTCTCTTACCTAATTGTACTGTCTAATAAATGACATTGGGAATTTGGGACTATTTCTAATGTAGCACCATTAAGCATAGTAAAGTTACAAAAGAGATGCATGCCAATTTTCCAATTTGGTACCTAACCTTCAAAAGGCATTTTATTCTTTTATTTTCAAGGCCTGGCACATAGCTGATGTTCAGAAAATGTTGCCTTTCAGTGAATGCTGTGTTAGTACTTACATGTATCCATAGATACATAAACTATCGAATGCTGCTATTGATAAATGGAAAGACACTAATATACATTTAATGAGCATTAACTGTATGTACAAGGCGCTGGCTTACGCATCTCATTAACCATTGGTGGAGAGCCTGCTCCTAGCTGATTCTGACAGCATGCCCTCACTGAGAGCTTTGCAGTGCGGGGTAAGGACCCAGGTTCTAATCCTGTCTCTGTCACTAATGTGATGACTTCGAGAGATTCTTACTACACAGCTTCCATTACCCAGAAGGAGAGGCAATTTGGGCGAAGGGGAGGCAGTCTTAGGACCCATTTGGGGGAAGACCTGGGCCACCTCGCACCCTCCATCCCCCCCATACAATAGGAGAGGGATTAGCTGATATCCGGGAGACTGAGGAAAGAAAAAGGCAGTGGAACAAAGGCTTCTTTGAGAAATCAGATGTGGTGACACCACCAAAAAAACAAAAAATAAAAATAAAAAAATAAAATAAAAAGGGCAGCTCTGACTGGTTTGGCTCAGTGGATAGAGCGTTAGCCTGTGGACTGAAGGGTCCTGGGTTCGATTCCAGTCAAGGGCATGTACCTTGGTTGCGGGCCAATCCCCAGTAGGGAGTGTACAGGAGGCAGATGATCGATGATTCTCATCGATGTTTCTAGCTCTCTATCCCTTTCCCTTCCTCTCTGTGAAAAAAAAAAAATCAAAAAACATATGTATATTTTAAAAATTAATAATTAATATATATTTTTTCTTTTTTTCTTTTTTAAAGGCAACAGGCTCCTAGAGGCCCCCTGCGACTCCCCCGTGAAACATGTCCGCATGCGTGATGCTTCCTTAGGACTGACATGCTGATTCTGGGCTCCGGGTCTGCAGAGAAACCCTCCCCCCGTCCTCCGTCCTCCCTGCCAGCTCCCTCCGGCCTCCAAGCACTGCCTGGGTGACTAAACTTCCACTCTGCACCCCTCGGCCCGGATGGGTCCCCCCCAGAACGCAGACAGGGTGCCTAAGCAGCCGGCCTGACGTTGGGGTCGAGGCCTCCTTCCTCTCCTTGGGGCACAGTCGAGGGTGAAGAGCCACAGAAGACACCTCCTCAGGAAGGGTGACGCCGATGGGGCACGGGGACAACCCAGAGGTCAAACAGGTCAGGACAGTCTTCCTCCCGGCGCCCCGGCCCCCGGAACAGAGACCCCGGCCCTCTCAGGGGCGGGGAGGGGGCTGGGCCTCGGGCTGCGGAGTGGCCGCCCTCCCAGCCAATCGGCACGCCGCTCCGCCGCGGAGGCCCCGCCCCCCAGCCCGGTACTCACTTTGCCCACCTCGGCGTTGCCCATGGAGATGACTTTGATGCGCAGGGACTTGCCGGGCTCCTTCCGCTTCGGCAGGCTGGCGTCCATGGCCTCGGCTCTCCCGGGGCCACTCGCCTCGGCCTCTCCTAGTCACAAGCCGGCCCGGCTCTCAGGCCTCCTCAGCCAATGGCGGCGCCGCGGCTGTCGTACCCGCCCGGGCTCCGGGGCTCGCCATCCCCGCCGGCTGCACCGCTGCAGCGGGCGCAGGCGGTTGGGGGGTAAAAGTCTCGCGATGCTAGGCAGGGGAGGCGTGACGTCACCGCCAGGCCCTGGAAATAAAGTTGTGGTGACCCGGTCGGCGGGGTCCAGCGAGGGGCCGTCCGGGGGGGCGGGAGGGCGGCTCGGAGTGGGCGGCTCTGTGCCCAGAGGCTCCAGGACGCGGGCATTCGATGCCGAGTGGCCTTTTTACGGCAGATCCTCCCCTGGGAAGCATCTGGGATGATGGATTACCTAGTTCAAGGCTCAGCAAGCCAACATTCTGAGTAGACCATGGTCCATTGGGAATTGTTTTCTGGATCCTTCCGTCCACCCTGGCGGCCCACTCCCTGCTCCAATGTTGGGTTTCCCCGGCTCCGGCGCCCAAGAGGCAAAGCCAGGAGCCAGGGCGGTGGGACCGCTCAGGGCCCGGTTTGGGAAGAGGGGCCGGTCCGCAAAAATCCTCTGCCCCCTAATCCAGTGCCAACAGGAGCCCCCAGTCTGGGGCACAGAAAGAAGGACTTTGTTCAGGTAAACAGTTAGCAAGCCGGGCAAAAATCAAAAGTGCGTTCCCGCCAGAAGCCAGGGAAACCCACTTATGTAGGGAAAGTGGCTGCCCTTGACCCTGATTGGTCCATTTTTATGCAAATAAGGAATCCAAATGTTCACAGTGTAATGGGTCCCAATAGCACCGTCCTGATTGGCTGGAATTGTGCATTCTGATTGGTTGTGATGGGATTGCTCTGATTGGTCAGTAAAGATGTAAATGAGGACACATCTCAGCTTCGTTTGAATGGGCAGGTCTCATGCCATTGGCCAGAAATGGTTCCAAGAATTCCTTTGTAAGGTTCTGTTGGGGCAGGAACTCAGCGCAGGAGGTTTGGCAGATCCCTCTGTGAAGAGGGGCCACTCTGAATAATGGCTGCTAGACTATGGATTATGAATTTGGACCCAGTTACCCACAAGGAGTCCTTTTTGGCAGGTACCTTCCTTCTTGGGTTCAATAGGCCTCAGGCAAGGCCTGAATCCTATTCCTATCATTAAAAAAATAAAAATTAAAAACAAATAGGCTATTTGGAGCCAACATGGGTTTAAGTGTAGTCCTTACTCTTCTAGTAATGTAGTTCTAATTTGTAGGAAGAAAGTTCAGACTGGACTTTTCTGACACCCTTCCAGCTCTGTCGATGTGTGTGCGCATGTGATTGTAGCTGTAGGCTCCTTCCTGCCGCTCACATCCAAATTTAGCCCTGTCTTCTGTCCTCACCTTTCCTTTAGCTGACAATGTGACAAATGGATTCTAATGTAACCACTTTTATACTCTCTCATTCCAAGGGACAAGTAAAGCATCATCTTGATAAAAATGAGTCTAAAAGGAATTGTAATTTTTTGAGCCAATATCTTCAGTTACAGAAGATAAACATAACTTGATAAATGATTATTTAGTGCCCTGAAAAAAATGGCTGCCAGTTTACCAGTAAATTACAAGGACAACGGTCGTATTGCTTTAAACATCTTAAATGTATTGCAGGGAGGCAGTGAATAAAGGCTCAAATATTTATAATTGTTATTTCAGTTATGTTTTCAAATATTTCAATTTAAAGTTTTAATTTTAAAACATTCTGTGCTTTTCAAGAAGAAAGCCTATTCTGGGTTGTTTTCATTATCAACAAGTAAGGTACATTACTTCTAAAATTCTTTATGAGTATAAAATACAAACCATGGTTAGAATTTTTATCGTTTTAAGCTGAAAATAAGGGGACTTAAACTTATTCTCCAAATACTGACCTCTCAGTATGATTTAATAAAGTCAAGAAACATCTGTTTCTTTGACAGTTCACCTTTCACCCTATCACAGAACTGCTATTGCGGAAGAATAATTGCAAAATGTCAAGTCTAACTATTAAAGACGGATTTGGTATGATACTCTTGAGCAGAAGGGCAATAAAACACGTCGAGGTTTAAAATTTATTACCATTTTTGCATATTGATGTGTTCAGGGTTTGAGTATGAATAGCCAAATTTTCTACCGGCTGTGTGGGATTAGTTTGAGATTGAAAAAAGCAAGAAAGTAGCTTTTCTTTTCCAGTCTTTACTACAGAAAGGAGAAAGAGAAGAGTGAATTGGCTGTGTGTGGTGGGGAGCTGGACCGTGCGGTCCATGGGTTAGGTCGGAGCAGGAGGGCTGGAGCCAGCTCTGTTATATGTATGCTGGTGCCACACGGGCACGAGGTGGTGGGAAGGATTGTGGGAGAGAATGCCCATGAATAAGGACAGTGAACAAACGCTCAACTTTTCATAATAGTTATTTTAAGATAGATTTTCACATTTAAAACTTTCATTTAAAAATATTATATGCTTTAAAATTGATTCCTTACAAGAGCTTCTTTGTAAGGATTCCTAGGAAGTACAGTAAACCCAATAAACAGTAGCCTTATGCTTTTATATTTCTGTATTAAGAAAGATTCTACATAGTTTGAACCTGCGTTTTAAAAGTAAATTAGGAAATATATTGGGCATTCTTAAAGGCATGGAGAACAGCATAATGAATATCGGTGTATCTACCACGTTGTTTAAGAATAAAACATCACGGATGCTGTGTGTTTTCTTCCCCAGTTCACCCCTACCCCATCTCTGCAAAAGGTTGCAACTCTCTGAATTGGTGCTTTTCATTTGCACACATTCAAAAAGTGTACTTACTATATGTGTTATACACATGAAATGTAGTACTGTGACACGTCTTTTATAAATATTTATTTTGAAATGATTTATTCAGAAAAGTTCTAAGAATAGTAGAACAAAATTTTATATCAACCCTTTATCCAGATTCATCAATTACCATTTTGTCTCATTTTGCTATGGATATAGCACTGGATAGTGTTCTGTTTATCTATCCATTTATCCACATGTTTTTCCCCCCCGAGTCATTTGAGAGTAAATAGCAGATGTGTATCTTTACCCATAAACACTTAAATGTGTATGTTCCAAGACAAGGATTTATCTTACAGAGCAACAGTATATTTATCAAAATCAGGAAATGGAACACTGACACAGATCTATTATCTAATCCTGTGGTTCTCATGCTGTGTACTGAGGTACCCCACAGCCCCACAGTGAATTCAGTTCATCAGGGATGTCTGTAGGGTGTCTTACATTCTAAATTCTCAAGGCAAACAAAATCTGAGACTACTTGCCCGAGGTTGTTTGCAATTTCTACAATAGATGGCGCCATATTCCTTAAATATGTCACATGTGACACTTTCCGAGACTGTGATAAAAACCCAAGTACAGTGCCAAAATTAGCGTGGAACAGGAAATTGGGGTGGTCTTGTCCAACCTGCTCCCAAGGTTTGAGAAGTTGTGCAGTGCCCAACAGGTGCACACATCCCGTCAGTAAGTAATTGTGGTTAAGATGGAAATAAAATATGTTTTTGTTCAATGTGCACATATTATATTATTTTTTCACATAGCAATGAAATTGTTAGAGCATAAATACTTAATAAGTTGTTTGGACCTACATATTTCTTTTGGCCAAGGAAGACCATGAAAAAAATTATTGAGACACTGAGGATACATTGAACCAAGAATATTTGGGAAACTTTGTTCTAACCCACAGATAGTTCATATTCAGATTTTACCATCTGTCCCAAAACACCTTTTCTAACTATGTTCCCCATCCTCACCCGCTAGTCTGGAGTCTTATCCAGTATCATTAGTTGTCATATATCTTTAGTCTTCTTTTATCTGCTATATCCTCAGCTTTTCTTTACCTTCCATTATGATAGTTATTTTTAGAACATTCCTCATTTTGTGTTGGGTTATTCTTGTGATTAAACTCAGTGATGAATGTCATACTGTCCCTTTTAGGGCATCAATATCCGAAAGTCTGTGATTCAATTTGTTCCATTTATTAATGATGTTAACTTTAGTTAGTTGATTAATGCAAGTTTTCCCCTTTATAATAAATAATTTGTAAGGGGATATTTTGAGGTTATATAGATATCCTTTCTTCATTTGTGGATTTTCACCCACAAATTTTTAGAATCTAATGACAATTCACAGCTGAAAAGATTATTTCCATGATGGATGCAAAAATCATGATTTTCTAACTTCATCATTTCTCCTACATTTATTACCTGGTATTTTACCTTAAGAGAGAGCTTTTCTTTCTCATTTATTAATTTATATCAGCCTGGACTCATATATGCTTACTAGAGGCCCGGTGTACTAATTCGTGCACCAGTGGGATTCCCGAGGCCTGGCATGTGGGGATAAGGGTGAAACTGTCTGTCTGACATCCTCAGATTGTGAGAGGATGCAGGCCAGGCCAAGGGACCCCCACCAGTGCACATTTGGGGCCGAGGAAGGACCAGGGCATGTCCAGCCCATCTTGCCCAGTCCCAAGCAGCCAGACCCCAGCAGTAAGCTAAGGTTGGAGAGTCTGCCCCCTGGTGGTCAGTGGACATCATAGCGACTGTTCAAATGGCCCAACAAACGGTCAGATACTTAGCATATTAGGCTTTTATTATATAGGATTTTACTTTATGAATATTGTTTTGTTACTATTATTTATTTTGATGCTCAAGCTAGCTCTTATGTCTCTTTAATATGTTTCCACCATTTTTTGAGCACTTCCTTGCTTTCTGACATAAGTAAGAGCCCTGGTTCCTTAGGTCCTTTTAGTGGAGAATGGTATTTAGAAACCAAGATCTGGGTGTTATGTGTGCTCATTGATACTAGGTGTCTTTGCTTTGGGCCCTCTTCGTTGACTGAACAAATAATAATAATAATAATAATACATTTACATACACACATATGCAACCAAACACATATATCAAAACATAGTTCGTACTGATATCCCAACTTATTTTAGCACAACAGGATTCGTTCTGCTCTACCTTTCCAAGTGTATAACTCCCTTCTTCACCAGTGAAAATTCATTGGGTTGCACACTAACGATTGGTGCATTTATCTGTAGTGTGTTATGCTTCAACATAAAAAAGTTTGCAAAAAACAATTCTTACCTAATTTTTATGCAAC